AGACATGGGCACGCTGAGGGCAGCAGTGAGCACACCATCACAGGGCCCGGCTACGCAGTGCTGGGGGCTCCGCTGGAGATGCCCAGGGTGCAGTGAGTAAGGTCAGAGGCAGCTGGGCAGGAGCAGAAGGGCTGAGCCTGGCTCATGCCCCGGGGGTTCCTTGTCTAAGGGTGGCCCACAGAACAGCCACCCAGAGCCCCGAGCTCTGTCCCTGAGGCTGTTTTGAAGATCTAGCTGCACCCACGGTCTCGTTTTAAACACAGACCCAGATATCCCTGCTTCCAACAAGCCAAACTCGATGCCCATTCCGACAGGCCCTGTCCACTGCCCCTGCCAGTTCCCAACAGTCTTAACTCTTTGTGAGAATAGAAAGCTTCTTTCTCCCATGAAGGACCAAGTGGTTTTGAACTGCTGGCCTTGTGGACTGAAGAGCCCCCTAATCGTAACCACTACGCCACCGGCTCCTTTGAAATCATCTTCTGAGCACCCCTAAGCCACAGGAGTCATCCCACCAGCACTGATCTTGACCTCGCCATGATTCTCCCAGCTCCAGCAGAGAATTCCAGTCTCCTCAGCCTGCCCTCACTCACTCCCTAGCCCCCTAGAACCCAGCCCACTGCAGCCATGTCCTGCCCAAGCCCCGGCAGGCAGCCCCGCATGCTATGGGGTAGAAAGGCTCCACAGGGGGTTCTGCTGTTTTACCTGCTGTTTTCAAATCAAAAGGCAATTTATTTAAAAAAGAATCAAAACAGAACGTCTAAGTCGTGCCAAGGTGTATACTTGGCCCTGGACGCGCAAGAATGAAAGTCTGTTTCATTTTTTGTTTCCCACCCCCACTTATTTATAAAGATCACACCACCTAGTTAATCAGATGTTCAAGGGGAAAAAAACCAAACCTGACCCCGTGCTGCACGCAAGATTGCCACTTAAAACAGACTGTCTTTCCAGGAAAGCTTTAGCAAGGGGCTGACCCTCTCACCCGGACAAACAGGACAGGAAGCAGGTGGGGAGCATCCATTCTAAGGAGGGCGGACCTGGTCCTTCTCTACCAGCACTCCTCTGCCACCGGCCGGTGGCCTCGCAGACTCTCCGTCCCTGTCTGCTGGGCGGATCAGAAGCACCTCTGCTATCATAGATGGTTTGTTCCGTCCTGCCTCCAAGGACTGACTGCATGTTGCCTCTGCTGCTGCTGCGACATTTAAAGCAACCTGGCTGAGGCGCTTCCGAGCTCCGGATCCTCTCTAATCACGCCTCAGAAGACCCTTCGAGAAACAGCCCCTTGCCAACCCGTGGGTCCTGAGTGAAAGGCACAGGACTCATGGCAAGACCAGCACGCTGGGTCCTCCCACCGGCCGGCCCTCCTTGGGCACTCACGCCCCAGACACCGGTGGAAGGGAAGGGAAGGTCTGTCTCTGCGAGCGAGTAGTACTCGCCCTCCCGGGCAGTCACACGCGGCCAGTTCCTCGGGCAGCTAGCTGCAGGGCACCACTGCAGACCCCGCAAGAACCGTTGTCCTCTTTTGCTTTCTTCCTTCTGCCGACCAAGCCTGGTACTTCCCCATTCGTCTCCCAGAAGCCCTCTCTTCTCAGGCGGGCTGGCTGAGGAGTGCCGAATTAAGTTTCTGTGGAGTAAAGGCTAGGCCGCTTGGTGGTGTAACGGCTACACACTGGACTGTTACAAGGTCAGTGGTTCGAAAGCACCAGCCACTATGCGGAAGGAAGGCAAGGCTTCCTACTCCCATTAGAAGTTGGTGCCTCAGAGACTGATGGGGTGCTGAGTCAGCATTGCCTCGATGGCAGTGAATTGGCTGGGTTGCGGCTTTTTGGAGTGATGACGGGGCCTGTGCCTCCATAGGGTTTTCTTGGCCACAATCTTTTTGTTTGAAATGTATTTTTTTTTAAGATCATTTTATTGGGGGCTCTTACAGCTCTTATAACAACCCATACATCAATCGTATCAAGCATATTTGTACATATGTTGTCATCACTATTTTCTAAACATTTCCTTTCTATTTGAGCCCTTGATATCAGCTCCTCTTTTTTCCCTCCCTCCACCCTCCCATCTTTGTGACCCCTTGATAAATTATCAATTATTATTATTATTTTCATATCTTACACCGGGGGGTGGAGGATGGTGGTCATGTGTTGATCATCAATCGGTTCCCCCTTCCTCCCCTCCTACTCCATCTCCCCCCTGCCCTCCTGGTATTGTTACTCCCATTTTTTATACTGAGGGGTTTATCTGACTTGGATTCAGTGTATCCTGAGCTCTTATCTATACCAGTGTACATCCTCCAGTCTAGCCAGAACTCAAAGGCACGACTGGAGTCATAATAGTGGGGGGCTGAGGAAACCTCAAAGAACCAGAGAAATAGTGTGTGATTCATCGCTGCTATACCGTGCCCTGGTTGAACTCATCCCTTCCTTGTGACCCCTCTGGGGGTGGATGTCCCACTGTCTACAGATGGACTTTGGGTCTCCACTCCAACCCCCCTCATTCTCACCGACCTGTTTTTGTTTATTTGTTTGCTGTTTTGTTATGAATCTTCTGATGCCTGTTAATGACACCTCATGATCGCACCGGCTGGTGTGCTTCTTCCATGTGGGCTTGTTGCTTCACTGTTGAATGGCCGCTTACATAACTTCAAGCCCTTAAGACCTCAGACACTATATCTTTTAAGAGGCAGGCACCATCTGCTGTCTTCACCACATTTGCTTATGCATCCACTTTGTCTTCAGCGGTCGTGTCTCTGCCGTAATTCTTATGGAAGCAGACTGCCAGGCCTCTCCCATGGCTCCGTTGAACGCAGCCATCCTGTCCTGGTTGGTTTCCAGCCCACCCATGGACCAGAACGGGGCAGACTGGCCTCGCCCTGGGGAGGAAGACTCTGGTCTCTACCCTGACCACCCAGCTGTCCATCAGCAGTGCTGCGGGACCCGCATGGCAGGTCCACCTGGGAAGGTGCTGTGCACTGTGTGAAGGGGAGCTCCTGGATCAGACGTCACCTCCTCAAGCTCCCCGGGCAGAGAGAACCAAGGGCCCCCTCGTGCTCGGTGCGTACAGCCTCTATGTGAAGCACGCTTCCCCTGGCCTGGTCGTCGCCTGCTCCTGTGTTCGCCCCTCCTTGAAGATACGGATGTTCACCTTGATCGCTGTGCACCTGCAAAGGCCTCCCGTGTCAGCGTGGGGGACATGACAGCTGCACAGAGCCCTTCAATGATTGATATGGCAGTGACGGCACAGTGCCTGGCCCACCAGTAAGCCTCAAGAGGCTGTCCGGTGATAAGGCTCCACGGGCTCAACAGAACCTGGGACCCCTTCTAATATGGAGGCTCCATAGTGGCGTGGCCCCTCTGGTGGCCCCTGGCACTCTCTGCAAGGCAGGAACACTTCTAGTCCAGCCACAAGCCCTCACGGCTATCGCGCCAATGCCGACTCACAGTGACCCTGTAGGGCAGGGCACAACTGCCCTGTGTACTTCCGAGACTGTCACTCTTTATGGGAGTAGAGAGCCCCAGCTTTCTCCCGGAGTGGCTGATGGTTTCAAACTGCTGGTGCACTAAACCGCTGCGAGCGGCCGTTTGTGTTTACCATCGGCCAATACCTCACCAAGTGTCTGCGAGAAAACGTCCCCTCCTTTGAGGTAAGAGGTGCACGGACCTGCACGTAGGAGGCTGTGAAGCCACACGTGCAGACCACGTGCGCACAAGTGAGCTCCGTACGGCATCCTCTGGCCTCGCTCGCTGCTTCATCAAGATGCTATCAGTTCTCTGCAACCCCAGGCGGGACAAGCGTGAGCCCAAGGACCTATAAATCAGTTGCAAAAATTGACTTTCAGCACGGCCACTTAGAACTCTGTCGGCTCAGAGAGGGACGGCAGCAGGACACAGCCCAGGGAGCTGGCTTTATCCAGGGTGGGGGCTGTTAGCAGGCCTTGCTACCAGCTTCGTGGATGCTGAGGGTCTTGATAGGCCGTTCAGGAAAATGACCACCCAGTAGCACCCCATCCTAACCAGGGAGGCTGGTGTCATACCCCCTTCTCCTTCCCCAAATCCACATTCCTGAAAAGGCCTAAGCCGAGGAGAGGGGGAGGCACCAGAGGTTCTGGAATCCCCTCCAGTCCTTGTTCCAGCAAGCCCATCACTCAGGGACCACAGTGCTGCCAGGTAGGAGGGCAGGTCACTGGGCATCTGCCCAGCAGCACAGGATGCTACAAACATCCAGGCAATGCTTCGTGAGTGTTCAAAGAACACACCTGCTCCTACCTACATACCTTCCTGTCGGTTCCTTTGCTAGCTGTGTCTCTATGCCACACTGGCCGCTGATCACACGACGAGAACAGTGTGTGCTGCCACATGCACACACTTCTCCTTCTACCCCAGGACACAGAGAGAGCGAGTCAGCCCTAGTGACCTAAGAGAAAGGGAGACCAAGTATACCCCGGACTCAAAACCCCCAAATTCATGAACACGCAAACAGCCCTTTCTCACCCTGAGAGGGGGCCCTCCTTCCTCTGGACTCCCTGCCGCCCCAACAGCCTCTGGGAGGTGGGCAGGGGGGCAGAGCCAGGCGTCAGCACACCCAACCTGCCCTGGATGGACACAGCTGGGAGGGCCTTCCTGGGCAGCCAGAGCACAGGTCAGGCCCATCGGTCATTCTACTTCCTGTTCACTGCAGACAGCAGGGCAGCTGGCCGTGCAGCAGGAGCAGGAGCGAGCATGGGGCGAGCTGACCCTGAGAAATCACCTCCTCTCTCTAGGCATCAAGTCCCCTGGATCAAACAGAGAAGGGACTTTGCGCCGTCCACCCCCAGGAAGACACGGGACAGCGCTGCTGAGAGACCAGGGAGGGGTGTTGCCAGAGCTCACCGATGCTCACTCCAGGGACAGCCTGGGACTCGCGGCTCGGGGACCTCTCACACCCCCTCTCCTTGAGTTCTCAGTGTGGGCCATGGCCTGGCCCTCCCGCTGCCACACCAGCCACCGCGCCCCAGGACATACCCACAGTCCACCCAGCAGATGGTGCCTTGTCCTTTGACTGCCTGGGCCACAGTGGATAATACCCTGAGATGATTTTCAGCTGCTGCCTCTGGGGAAAAGAGAGAACAGAAAAATTAGACAACAGGTGCACCCAAGGGCGGCCAAGATGCCCACCGCCCACCAGCTTCTCTCAGGTGCAAAGGGTGGAGACCAACTCCAGGGAGGCGGGTGATGATGAAGCCACCCAGGCGCTATTGAAAATACCCATCCCGGTCACAGGCCGTGACAGAGCACCCCCATCTCACTCCTCTAAGCCGCCCCCCAAGCCTGACTCTCCCTAGAATCTCTCAGCCAGATTCTCGACTCGCAGGATAATCTCTGATTCATGATCTTCCCGAGACAAATTCTGAAGTCTAGAGCCCTGGCCACAGCGGCAGGTTGGCACTAACGGAAACAATTTCGCCGACTTCTCACTCATCCGCCTGAGGGCTGCCCAGGGTGGGGCTGGGGGCCCGTCACTAGTGCATTCCACACGGACCTCGGAGTTCAGCTCTACCTTAGTGTTTAGCGCACCCTAAGCCATTCCAAGAACGCTCGGCACAGTCAGGAAGCCACAGGGCAGGAGTGTGGGCCAGGTCATAGGGCAGCATAAGGTACAGGCATGGAAGGAGGAGTCTGGTCTCAGACCAGGAGCCCTGGTGGCGTGATGGTTACTCATGGGGCTTCAAACCACAAAGTCAGCAGTCTGAAACCACCCTCTGCTCCTCGGGGGCAGGATGAGGCTTTCTAGTGCTATAAAGCGTTGCAGTCTCAGAAACCCACATGGGCAGTTCTACCCTGTTCTACAGGGTCGCTGGGACTCGAATGCAGTAAGTTTGGCAGAGGGAAGGTTCTCGAGGGAAAAGTCCCTGTGTCCACTCGGTGGCTCCGACAGTGCCCCATTCCCACCTCCAGCCATACCTGGGAGCCTGCTTTCGGGGCCTGCCGGCCACAGCGCCTGCCCTTGCCTGCCAAAGGCCGCCGGGTCCCTCCCACTGGCAGGCAGCAGTGCCTGGCTCTCCCCGAGGGTGTGGAGAATGGATTACGTTGTGAACACAAAGCGGCAGCGGCGTGCACCGGGCCTCTGGGGGACGCCTGGGAAACCACGGTGTGAGCAGCGGCGGGTGGGAAAGGCCACGGTCAGCTGCCCATGCAGGAGCACGGAGCAGAGCCAGGGAGACGCCCCCTCCCACCCCCACGTTCTGGTAAAGGGAGGCACTGCTTAGAAGGAAGGGAGGGCAGGAAGAAACTCAGGTCGCTGAGCTGCTCACAGAACCCGCCAGAGGTCACAGGTCTCTGGCAGCAGGCAGGGGCCAGGAGGCGGACAGGTGATGTCAGCCCACAGCTGGAAGGTGCCTGGTAGGTGGCAGGTGCTGGGTGCTCCACGTCTCTACCAAGCCAGCCCACGGTTGGGCGAGGGGGAAAGGGAGAGACCGCTAGGCCCTGCTTCCTGCTAGAAGCCACCTCCTACCCAGCACCAGCGGCAACGAGTCCGGCCTGCCGTGTGGGATAGCCCCATATGAGTTCCAAGAGAACTGTGCTACCAAGGGCTGCTAGTGGCGGGTTGTTTACTTGAAAGCAGAACCCCAGGCCTTTCTTCCGAGGCCCCTCTGAGTGAACTTGAACTCCCCACCTTGTGGTTAGCATCAGGGACACGAATCCCAGGAACGGGGTGCAGCAGCGGCCAGCACTAGCCAGGTCCTGAGCAGGCTGCCGATCCAGAGCCCCCGCCTGCTTCCTGCTTTCTTACCTGGGCACTGCCCCAGCCTCACCATTGCCTCGGCTGCAGCACGCGCGCGCGCACACACACACACACACACACACACACACACGCGCGGCATGTGGGGTGTCGCTTGGGTTTTGGTTCGCTGCCTTTGGAGCTCGGTCATCAGCTATCAACACTGCCCTGTTCCTTACACCCCCGCCCCACCTCACCCCCCACCCCGCCCTGCTTCATGCAATTGAGTACATGAGAAAGGATTACAAAAGCAGTCATTACAAGACACTGAGTTTCTCTAAGGGGCCTCCTCAGAGAAGGAGCTGAGCTGTTCTTACCGAATCCTCCAGGGCCAGGAGCTCCCAAGGGGGCAGGCCACAGCGTGCAACCCCCTACATCCCAGCCTCAAAGACTCTGCTGCTCCCTTGCCTCAGTTTCCCCATTCCAGACAGCAGATAAAAAAATGCCTGTCCCATGCTAGGCTCCCCGACAGACTCAGTGTGTGCACACCAGGCCCCGGGAGCAGCGATGGTGACAAAGGCAGTCATGCGCCAGGGATGGCCGGAGATTGTGGCTCCAGGAGGGTCCCACGTCAGAAACACCCATCAGACCAAGTGCCAGGGAGTGTCTCGGACAAGCTGCCAGGCAGAGCTGTGCCCGAAACTGGCCCAGCCGCTGGCTGGTGCTTCTCTGGGGGCACTGAAAACTTGGCATCCTGGGAGGTGGTGAAAGACACTTAACTCTGCTGGCACAGCAGCAAGCGAGCCAGACGTTTCACCCTTTCCCCAAACCACTGCCAGGGGCTCTGCGAACCTCTCTCCATCTGCGGTGCCCTGGCCGGCAGAGGTCAGAAGACAGGCGGGCCGGCCTCGCCTGCCCTCCTCCAGGACGCTGCCATGCCGAGTCTGTGGCCTCCCCCGGGGCCAGGCTCCTTCCTGTCTGACTCCAGAAAAGGGCAGGTGGTGCCCCACAGCCGGGGGCCACATCAACTGGGGACAGCTCAGTTCTCGAGCAGCCTGCAGGGCTCGGTTCTGAGCTGGATGCTGCCAGCCAGGGAGAGGAGAGGGGGCTGACGGTCTGCCCCCTCTTCCTCCATTGCAGGGGCCTCTCCCTTCTTAGTAAGTCTGGCCAGAGACCAGAACCTGGTCAGACCAACTGAAACAACTGCTGAGATGTCCTGCGTGCCTCCGCCCTGTCCTCGGGGAGAGCTGGCCCACCTCCCTGCACAGTGCTGGGCCCCAGGGTCTCCCACTCCCACGCCCTGTGCCCGCGGGTGCCCAGGGCGCACTCACCTGATCTGGAGTACAGCACCAGCACATTATTCCGGGTCCTGAGGAGTTTCTTCAAGTCCTTGTGGTCAGAGACTCTCTCGATGAGTGGGGAGATCTTGGCTGGGCACAGCCACGCCGGCAGGACCACCTGTGGATGGAGGAGCCCCGGCCATCAGCCCCGGGAGGACCGGAGCCCACCCTCACGCTGCCTGGAGCATGCTTTGCGCCAGCCCACCTGCCTCATGACACTACTCCTGCCTGTACCACCATCCCCTCTCCAAAGCCCCTCCTCCAGGCACACATCCCCCCAAACCCAAGCCCTGGCGTCGGGACCCTTCCCGCTCACGGTGATCCCCATGGCACAGATGGACCGCTCTGTTGGGACTCCTCGGCTTCCAAGTTTACACAAGCAGCCTGCCAGGCCTTTCTCCCCCACTGTCCTTGGGAAGCTTGCACCGCGGCGGGCCTTGAGGCTGGTGCCCGAGGACAAACCATTTGGGCCCTCGGGGGAACTTTTTAGGTTGGTCGCAGTTGGTCCCCATCTCTGCTGCAGGGCCTGCGTTTGCTGCATGCTGTTCACCTCCCCCTCCTCCCCAGTCCCCCCCACCCCCCCATCCCCTGGGCTTCCCACGGACCTGTAGCTCTCATTTTCCACACTCGATCCAAACGGCACCTTGGAACGCCAGCGCCCAGAACCTCAGGCTGGAAATGAACAGCCGAGAGAGGTCTTCCCGTTAGCCAGGCGGCCTCAGGGGGCAATCTAACCACTGGACCCAAGCCAAACTTACTGCCATCAAGTTGGCACCAACTCTTGGTGACCCCAGAACAGGGAGAACTGCCCCCTGTGGGTTTCCGAGACTGTAACTCTTCATAGGAGTAGAAAGTCCCACCTTTCTCCCACATAGCAGCCAGTGGTTTCAAACCACCAACCTTGCAATTAGCAGCCCAACACATAACCACTACTCCACCATGGCTCCTGGATCCAACCACAGGAGAGCAAATTCTCACCAGGCAACCTTGGGAAAACTGGGAACTGGAGGCACGGGGCATGTCTGCAGGGATGACAAGCGGTGAACGGAAAGCAGGGGGTGGCTACAGTCTGTCTATGTGCCCCCCACTCACGCCCGGGCTGCCGGAGCACAGCCCTCCCCTAGCTGGTATGGAGCAGGAGGGCCGTTGTGTGGAGACAATGGCTGAGGAGGTAAGCTCTGCTGGTAGCAATCAGGATCTTGACTCCCTCCTTTTTCCACCACGCTGCCCACCAGCCTTACTGCCCCAGGCAGGGGCACAGAGAGCTCCCGTAGTGCTGAAGAGGAATGAGGAGTCCAGCAAGAATCTGAAAGCCACGGTGTGTCTGCCCAACAGTAAAGCTGCACCCCCTCCGCCCCACCAGGCCCCGTCCCCAGCCTGTGTGGTAAGGCCCGGCACACACAGGTCACCCAGACTCGGAAGGCCTCTGCACAAAGCCTCACCGAGAAGGAAGAGGCCACAACAAAGGATGGAAAGGAAGATAAAACTGAAACGAAAACACAGACAACAGGACACTGACAATCACCATAGTTACTATTCCCAAACAAATAAAACAAGAATCCACAACAGATCGCCAAGAAAACCCCAACTCATTGCCATGAAACTGAGTCTCACTCGCAGGGCAGGACGGAACCGCCCCTTGTGGGTTTCCAAGGCTGTACCTCTTTACCGGAACAGACAGCCTCTTCTTTCTCCTACGGGGCAACTTGTGGGTTCAAACTGCTGTCCTTAGGATCACTAGCCCAATGCAGAACCCACCACGCCATCAGGGCTCCTACAAAACCAGAATCCTGTTGCCATCAAGTCAATTCTGACTTACAATGACCCTACATGACAGAATAGAACTGACCCTACGGTTTCCTGAGATTGTGTATCTTTACCGGAGTAGAAAGCCTCATCTTTCTCCCTCTGAGCGGCTGGTGGTTTTGAACTTCTAACCTGGCAGCCTAAGGCATTACCCACTACACCACTAGGGCTCCTTTAAAACCAAGAGTAGGATACTATCTTTTTTTCAAAAGAGCAGAAAATCAAGAAAAAAAAAACTCTTAGAAAGGAAAGCTACCATAGATATATATATATATATAAAAGATCCAATAGATATAACAACCAAAAGATAACCCCAATCAGAAAATAAGCAAGAGCCTGACTGTTTCAAAGAGGACATTAAAAATGGCCACCAAACACGTGAAAGGCTGCTCAGTCTCGAGCCATCAGAGACCCCAGCTCCCTCTTGCAAGGATGGCCACACTTAAAAAAAATAGCCCAAAGAAGGTCACTGCTGTCACAGCACAGCACATGTCGACACTGTGTGCTCTGCTCGACCACAGAACCAGCTTCACATCCTCTCGAGTCCAACCTCCGAGCCACCCCTGCCATCTCCGTGGGCAGACACAGGCGAGTCCCGCTCAGCCGCACGGCCTTTCGGAGCCTCTCTCGGAGTGGTGACAGCACGGCCCCTTCTCACAGGGTGCAGCGGGCCAGCTTGTGGCATAGATCGTGCAGCTCTGCGAACGCCCAGTGCCAGCATCAAGGTGGCAGCGTTTCCAGGGCAGGCCAGGGGGCAGTCATGACCACCCTCTCTCTGGTGTGTCCAAGTTATCAGCCATCTGCACGGCTGGATGGAGCAGGCGCTTTCTGTCTCCCAGAGCGAAACAAACAGCCCAGTCGAATTCCTCCCTCACCCCGTCTGCCGGCCGGCGCTGCATCTGACACTCACGGACCACACCAAGATCCCCCCGACACTTCATTCAGCTTTGCTTTGACACGGTTCTCTGCTGCTCCCAGGGGCCAAGGAACTTCCCTTCTGGCACCAGAGAGGGCAGGGAAGGGGGGTGGGGGTGGGGGCGCGGGCCCAGGGCTCCCCTCACAGCAGTCTGCGGGAGAAACCCCAGGAGCCAGTGGACAATCCCGCAGACCAGCTGACCAAAAGGCCACCCTTGGATTAAGCCTCTGACCAGTGTTCAGCCTCACACACACAGGGCTTCAGCTCAAGCGCAAATAACTGGATTCACTGCCCTTGGTCACAGCCACATCACACGTGGTCAATGCGGACTCACGCGAATGACCCCACAGGGCAGGGTGGAACTTCCTCTGTGGGTTTCCCGGACTGTCACTCTTTACAGGGCGAGAAAGCCTCGTCTTTCTCCCTCAGAGCCCCTGGTGCTTTCCAACTGCTGACCTAGCAGGTATGAAACCCAACACATAACCACTACACCACTAGCAAATTGTGTTGGGAAACTTGGTGCGATGAGATCGGGGCTTACACTGGCCAGGGTAGAGGTCTTCATGAAAAGTCTGTCTCCTCTCCACCTCCCCCTGTGCCCTGGTCCCGTGAGCTAGCCAAGAGCACTGAGGCCAACCCTTAGGTAGCAGTCGGTAACACACTAAGCTTGCAGTAAACGTCTGTCCAACACAGTCGCGTGAAGAATCACACTTGCTATCTCACTCCTGACCTCCTTTCACGGAAGCCACCCTCGAGGATGGTGTCAGGAGACTCGGGAGGGCACCAAAACCCAACGGGCCGCAGGGCAGTGAGGGCTACGCCGGGCAGGGCAGGGGCTGGGAGAGCTGGCCTCCAGAGCCTGGGCTGGAGCAGAGAGCACGTGGGAGACATGGGGAAGCGCTGGGGCCTGGACAGGGGCGAGGAGGACTGACCGAGAGCAGTATTGCAGGGACCATTGGGCTATGGCCTCTGACTGGGCAGCAGTCATGGAGGTTGGAGGTGCAGAGAAAGGGCTAATCCCCAGAGGGGCCTGGCTAACTGTTGCAGAACGGGGCGGCAGGGTGGGCAAGCAGAGGAGGGGAGCAGCTAGGGGCTCACTCTCCTTCTGAGGAAGAAGATGCGTTCAGGTGTGGGGCAGGTGGGCAACAAGGAAGGTGTACTCCAGATAGAAGGGTGAAAGTTCAAGGCCATGAAGTCACCAAGGGCAGGGGCTCCGGGGGAGAACAGAGCAAGGTGGACACAGCACTCTACCTGAGAATGGAGCCCCCTCGGCGGGTAGGGCAGGGGAGCAGGTGGGACGTGCTGTGTCCACACAGGCCAGTGCGGGGCCACTAAGAAAGCTGTGGTGGGGATCCGTAAGGACCAGAACACCGTGTGGAGGAAACCGGGTGGTGGAGGAAACACCCAGGGCAGGTTTGAGGGGCCGAGGTGACAGAGGGAAGAGGGAGGAAGTGGGATCGCGGGGTCCGGAGGCTGTGCACTCAGAAGACAGGAGGGGAAGGGTGTCTGTGGACACAGGAGAGGCACCAAAGGCAAACTCACTGCCAACCCACAGCGACCCTATAGGGCAGGGAGAACTGGCCGGGCGGGTTCCCAGACTGTGAGTCTCTAAGGAGTGGGGAGCCCCGTCTCTCTCCGGCAGGATTTGCCCAGAGAAGCAGGACTTGAAGCCTTGGGGAGGCAGGGTGGGCATCACGGGGACAGCCAAATCCAGGGGGAGTTCAGGGCGGTGTTGTCCAGAGATGGCATCCGAAAGCTTCTCCTCTTCTCGACAGGAGGAAAGATGAAAGGCCCTTTGTGTCCAGCCTCAGACAGATGCTCGACTTAGCGACCAGCCACACAGGGAGCCAAGAGGGAGGCCCTTCCAAGGGGGCTTTCCTGCAGCCACTTAGCCGTCTCCTTCTCTCTGCGCTCCTCCGGAGGGGGCTGCAGCTCCAGCAGGCCCGGGCCAGCCTTGCCAAGAGCCTTCCTGCAGCCTCCCAAGTCACTGCCCCCAGACGGACCTTGATAACGGCAATGAGTACAGCATCAGTACCGTGCTAACGATGCACACGCTACCTGCGCCTTTGTCTCGCCCTCAGAGGGAAAGGACAGTAATTGAGAAGTGCTGCCAATGCCAGCCATAGTCCCACGCCAGCCAGGGTATTGTCTCTGGGCTTGGCAAGCTCCCTGCATTCGAAGTCAATCTCTTCGGGGTGGGGGGGGGGTAAATAAATCCCCTCTGGTCACCACGAAAACTCCCTCTGACCTTCACCAATAAGGCTTTCTCTCTGCTCAGCAGCACACGGTTTTAACAGCATTTACCACCCCGGGGCTGGGCAGTCCCCAGCGGTAGGGATGAGACCCACAGCACTCCCCCTAGCTCAGCACTGACCGCTGCTACCTGGCTTTACCCA